ATCCGTAGTAAAGAAACGCTTCGGATCATGTATCCCAGGTATCCGTATTCATTGCGTTTTACATGAAGCCTACATAGTGTTTCTTCTATCGAGTGGCGTTCAGCGTTCGTTTCTGCCACTTTGAGCGATTTTGTCAAGCAGTCCCTTGAATGTTTCATCTTTTTCAATCAGCTGTAGAAATGAGACTTTCTTAGTGTCCAAAAAAGCTGGAAATGCGAAGCAGTATGGTTAGTAGTGGCATTGAGACTGTTTCTTGCTGGTAGCTACGAAGAAAGCAACAATTTTTCATCAGTAGTCACTTTCAAGTTGAAATTGAAAAAAATCACAAAAGAAATTGGATCAAAACATGTCTATTTACAGGCTAGAGTATATCATTTGATAGGCTGTTTTGTGCTGAACATTTTGCTGCATAGGTTATGGGGGTTAGAAATTGAAACACAGAAGTTGGAGTCAAAATACGAGCATAATCCCAGAAATAAAATTCCCGTCAGGAAATTTGCCGGTTAAAGGGTTAAGAACAAAAGGCAATTTTGGAGGCACAGTGAGAGACGCATATACCAAAACTTTGGACGATATCCCGAAGGGCAGAAAAACTGGTTACAGAGAGGCTTAGCCGGGCTAGTGCTTTTTAGTGTAAATACTAAACATTTTAAAATTAGCTTTTTTCTTAACATTTCAATGTGCCAAAAAATAGAAAGTAAAGGGATAAAGGGATAGATAAATCTAAAAAAACAAAAACCGCAAAAAATAATAATAATAATAAAAAGAAAGCATTCAAGCGAAACGCGAGCAAGAGCCATAAAAATCCACTAAGATATTTCGAAAAGTATCAAACTAAGTATGTAAGTACGCAACAGGCCTTTTTCAAAAATACCATAATACTCTTTGTTGTCCCCTAATAATTTTGCATGAGCTTTCTTTTCAATTTCAATTTGCGATTGAAAGTCCCAAGAGAAATTGAAAATTTTGGAGGGACAATTTCCTTTTGCTGAACTCAAAACGCCATTTTAAAGACGTGAACTTTACCTTTACCTCAAGCTGCTTAATGTTGACTTTGACCGGAAGTTAGGGTTACAACGGATAAAATATGTCACGCTTTGCAAAAAGATTTTCAGCCTGTTTCCTATGGAGCATTACCAAAAAACTGTTATCAAGTATCTCAAGAATACCAAACGGAAAAAGGTATCATCGATTATTATGAAAAATTTGAGCATGTTTAAAGTGCGTAATAGTTGATACCCGGGGGTAGCTCCTAAGAATTCTTGGTGAGGGTGTGCCGCCCGGTTCTCCAAATCATGACCCTATTTCACAGCAAAAAATGTCATTTTCCACACCCGTTTTCAGAGCTGGCCTCAAAAATCCAAACCCGTTTGCAGACCTGGAGGAGGTCAAAAACGCAACATACATGTTTACATAGGCTAAAATTATGTCATCATTACTTAGATTAAAACGCCAACAAGAACATTTCTTCAAATCGTTTTGGAGTTTGCATATTACTCTTTCTTTCTTATTCATTTGGAGCTGAAACGACAAATACGTTCATAGAATCCCGCAGTTCCCTCGAAAACCATACACGATTCGAGACCAAAATGGGCAAACTCTATACCCGTTTTCAAACCGAAACGGCACAAAAAACATACCCTTTGGCGCGGCGGCATACCAATATGGTTTGAAAAAGGGAGTATTTTCCTTCCCCCCCGGCCCCCGCAGTTTTTGATGGCAGAAGATAGTTGGGTCAGTTTGGGGTGAATGGGGGGGGGGGGGGGGGGGGCGGCAAACGGTCAGGAATCAGCTATCATGACCAATTGGCCTAAAAACAGTTCGACCAAGTGAATAATAAAATTTGACGCAAAGGCTTTTCACATGCAACTAATAACCAAAGTACCCGCAAAAAAGGAAACGGGAAAGATATTTCTTGTTTGTTTTTTTGTTAATGCCGCCCGCGTGGAATTTAATAATGCATAAAATCGGTAGAACAAGTTTTATCTGGTTGAAAACTGGCTATGGGGTTAAATATAACCACCGCGCAACGCTTCTTGTATGTATAATGCGGATCCGCAGATCCTTCCATTGTTTTTCCTATTTTAAACTGGGACCAGTTATTAACACCGCTGGAAAGAACGCCTTAAATTCAGTAAATTTGCCAACTTTTAGAGTGATTTGTCTAAAAGTAACGAACATATAGCTCGGCAAAGTCGCGAAATTTCACAGACGTTTGTATCGTGGGAGGAAGTTCGTGCCCTCACCATACAAAAATCTCTAAGATTTTGCGACTTCGTGGAGCAATAACTCCGCTCATTTTAGTCGTATCACCTTTAAACTAAGTAAGTTTACTAATTAGAAAACGCTCTTCAATGGATAATTTCTTCCTGGTCTTAATCGAAGCTTGAAAAGGACAAAAAACAAAAACAAAACAAGGAAGTTTCTACTGATAAAAATACTGATCAGCAAATTTTCTTAAGCTAGAAACTGACGCGAATGTTTTCATTACCAGTGGTCAGAAGCATGTATGGCGCTGGATTAGGAAATGAATGGAAGCATTAACTTTGCAAAAAATTGACCGGCTAAAACTTAAACCTAAAAATTAACCTTGCATAAGCAGGCGCAGCCGAGTATAATATGGAGAAGTTCGATTTTTAAAATTAATCCTCACAATCTTCGACTTTAACTGAGTGCTTGTGCACTACGGTATGTATAGCAATTATAGCGAATATCTGTAAAAATAAAAGCGTGCTTTATGGGCAATCGCCACAATCCAATCAGCCAGTCTGCTTCCAGAACCACGCTTAACTTACTGCCTGATTGTAGTTCCATTGTTCCACTGAAGAAAAGTATACAAGATTCGATGTGACTTTTAAGCGTCGCTATTACTAAAATATTAGTTCAGTGAGTTGTTTTTTCCTTTCCGCACTTTGTCTCCACCGTATTAAACCGCCGATTATAGCGTTATTTAATGCATTTTCATTTTAACTGAAAATTAATATGTAGTTATGCGAAAATGTGTCTTTGGAAAGCTGCACAGTCGCTTTCGTAAGACTCATATTAAAGATATTTTACCTTTCTTCCGTTGACGAAGAAACAGATTTCTTGATCGAATGTTGACGGCATCCCACAAGTCTTCTGTTACTTTAAATCCGCGGCAGTTTATTGTCCTAAAAGGCAATTCAACATTCGCTGCAAATCGAGATTGCTCACACCCGCGATGTACAGAGCTAACCTCCTGCTATGTATAAAACGAGACAATATATTTAGTGATGGTCACATGTCACCATGAAAGCAGCAGTTCGCGTCACTCCTGCTTATACCAGAAAAACCAGTCCGGTCTAGTAACAAATCGGGTTGTTGCAAGTTTCGTGCATACTGACTTCTCAGGATTCGATAAAATTACGCGGTAGTCACACAATACAGGGAAGTTACTTCACTTGCTGAAAATTATGTTTGCCTTGGGTTGGTAAAACGCACAACATGTAGATTTTGTTGCAAAAAGTTTCTGCAACAACTTTTCGCAACCTGGAACAACCTGATTTTGTTGCGAGAGAGGTTTAAATACTGGGTGGTAAAACACGATGCAACATCGTTATTTAACCCGTTTTGCGACAATATGGCAAAACAAGTTGCACGTTTTTGTTGCCTGTACGTCAAATTGCCCATTGCGAAGTTTAAAAGCTTTAGGGCTTGTTTATAGTGGAAAGTACACTTAGCTTATCCAGCTAGTTTACTGGGATTCCACTCAAATACTGGCTTAGAAACAAATAATTCAAATACAACATAACAGGATTAAAAACCCAACTAGCAGAAAGGAGCAGTTGGCCGAGGATTTGAACTCGGGACGACCGAGGACAAAAGCAGCAAGTGGCCAGAGCGGGACTCGAACGCGGGACCGCCGGATTGCGATCCACTCGGCCACGCTGACTCCCTCTTTAAAGAGGTTGTGCTTGAGAGTGGGTCACTGTTGTCGAACTGCACTGTCGGACTGTTTTGTAGAGGCTATTTCTTCTTTTATTGGCTATCAGGAGGTTAGGGGAAAACTGTGTCGAAATTCGTGCAAAACAGTCCTATAGCGCGGTTTGTCACGACACTTTACGCAGCCTCCTCCACCGACCATTTGAGACAGCGCGTGATTAAACAAGCGAAGCGCGACGCATCATGGGAAAGACCAAAGGCGCGTCTCACCAGCTATTAGTGAGGTTAAGCAAAGACGCTTTTGAGCGACCCACGTCAACCGGAAGAGGTCTTTTTTCATTTTTCGACGGTGATTTTGCCCAAACATTTTGGGCAAATAATTGCGTCGCCTCAGAAAAATCATGTCTTTCCAGATGAAGTTTTTACTAGCAAATAAGACTTTGGGAGGCACACGAGCGGTAAATGTAAATTGATTACATAAAATTAGACACGCTGATTAACTGTAACACCAGAAACCTAGTAAACTACTTATTTGTAGTTTCTTGCACGCAATAATTAACTGTGTTAAAGAATTAAAAGCACTGCAGAATTGCTGCAAGCAGTATTCTTTTTTTTTTCTGGGGGAGAAGGGGGAGGAGGCTTATCACTGTAATAAAAAAGGTCCCGAAACAAGCTGATAACGATACGTACTTTCTATTTTCATCCGCGACAATACAAGCAAAATAAAAAATAAAAAAATATATAACTGTCAGCAGAACTTAACAAAAAAGAGACGTATAAATATAGCTCGATTTTTGAAAACGTTACTCCCAATATAGACCTCTTCCGTCACGCTGCTGTTTTATTCGTTCAACAACTATCTCCAGAATAACTAATACAAGAACTAAGACTGCAACTATTGCTTTTTTTATCCACTTACGATCTCTCTATTTTTCCTCTCCTTTTTCTTCCCTAGTGTGATTTTCGGGCTTATCGGACGTAAGAAACTTGCTTTTTGGCCTCTCTTCAGAAAAATGACTGCAATTTTCGGTAGATACGTTGCAAAAAGAACTTTAGTTTTTTTTTCTTACAAAGCATCTGTAAGCTTATCGATTACGTCATTCAGATTGCGACCGTTCATAACAAGCAGTGTCAAAAGGAAGGTTCACAGTTCCTTCAATGGTGGGGTCTGAAATAAGTTCATCCAACGAAAGCGACGTGGATGCGCTGTCCACGTCTTCAAACAGAGGTAGTCGATATGATACGGTTGACACTGGTCCTGGTGGCGATGAGTCACGCCCATTTGATGGTGGTACACTTTCGTCATGACCATGTAAAGGTGACTGTACAGCGTAACACCCTTTCGAGTCCACATGGGATATGTCACGCTCCTGAACTTGAAATGCTGGTCCAGGTAAGGCAACATCTTGTGGTGCGGTCTGACTTGTGTCACACACTTGTGACCCAAACTGAGCCGTCTCACAGTCTTCTGATGAGAGACGACCGTGTGGTGTTATCTCCGCGAGGTTAGTTTCTTGTGATTCTGAACTGGCTGTAGCTATGTTATCATGCTTTACTGGACTTTTAGCCTGTTCTTGAACATCTTCCTCTTCCATGACTTCAGCTTCAACATCTGACGCTATGTTAAGCACGAGGCCACTCAAGCGAGCAGATTTCATACTGGCAATTTCAGACCTCAGCTGCGATAATAAGCTGCTGGCTCTTTCGCCCAAATTCAGCGCACTTTCCTGGGATATGTCACGATTTGATTCGCCGGCAATTTCTGTGCCATATTCTCCACCGCTCGCTTGCTTTAAAGCAACTACATTTGCTGTACTTCTGAATGGCAGGCGAATTTCCTCAACATCATTTAGAGATTTCCTACCCATTTGCTCTCCGTCAGTTTGATTGGTGGTCGTACATTTATCATATTTGTCATTATCCACCACCTGTGTCGTCGATGACGCTTGATTATCTTCAGACGTACCTTCGACAAAGGCTTGCTTCTCCATACTCTGTTGTTTGGATTCCATTTGTACACTGCCCTCACCCACGTCATTAACCGACCCCTCATTACTACTTTCATCATCAGTTGGAACAGGACTGCTAACAACTATCTCTGGAATACCAACACTCAAGTGTCCTTCCATGTCAGCTTCCTGTTCGTGTGCCTCGTGGAGAGTGTGCTCAGTGTTATAACAAGAGCCCTCGCACAAAGTCACATTTACTTTGAGTTCAATTATTTCACCATCTGCAAAGTCATCGGGTTCCTCCTGGTGGATAGATGAAGGAAGAGTCATTTCATTTTGGCGAAATTCCACGTTGGACACAGAAGGGGCCACTTCGCTTATTTCGGCAACCACAGGTCCAAAAGGCAATACAACATCACCACTCACACGACCCTCTGCATCATCAAACTGCGATAAAGTCTCCATTGCTTTAGTGTCCTCTTCGAATTCAAGACTTGAAGAGAAAGGTTCTTTCACCTTCATGTCATTCACATGAAGACTGGACAACGGGATATTACAATTTCCTTGGTTTACTGGAGCAGTTGATGATGTCTCCAATACGTCGTCTTCAGAGTCTGTGTCTTCTTCTGTATCCAACCGAGGAACAGTGGAAATACCAGTACTATTCACTTTGCCAGTTAAAGTTGTAATCGTATCTGCCGACGGTTCTTCCCGATCCGAGAACATTTGGGTTTCCTTGTTTTGTTTTTCACCTGCGAAAGACCAAACGTTTTTTTGTCAGCCTTCTAATATCTTCTTCACTTCCTAAATACAGTAGGAAATTTTAAAAAACAATAATAATTTCGTTTAATTTTAACAGAGAAGATTTACGGTACGACCCAAAAATGTTGCCGTCACTTGAACGGGTACAACAGAGGATTGGTCCACAGACTTAAAAATCCACAGAAATAAGAAATTATTGAAATCGTGTAATTTTCTTATCTACCTTTAATTCAAATTGATGAAATATATCTTATCTTGCTTCGACTTACGCAGCAAATTGCTGACACGAGTGAATAAACTTTGACTTTTTGTTGTTAATCAAATATTGCCTTAATCATATCATTTCCTTTGCTTTGGTAAATTTTTTATTCTTTTACAATACCATTCGGCTTTGGCAGATAATACCCTCGGAGATCTGCCCAATTCTTCAGATCATACGATAGCTGAATTCAATAATTGCGCTATTATTTATTCAAAATAATTCCTAGTTTAAAACAAGCTAAAACACGCTTACGTCGATCAACGTTAAGTTCCGGTCTCCATTTGCCTTTTTCCCGACAAGTTCAGGATACACAGGGATGTTTCCCGGGGGGGTACTCCCTACAAAAGTGACGGGGGTGCTCGTCGGAAAATTTCGAGGGCACCCCTAAAAGGTACCAGAATCTTGTTTTATGGGCGTGTCTCAAATTCATTTCCACCCTTAAGAGGTACCAATTCAGCGACAACAAATTTTATAACCGGCACTGCAAATTTTAAAAGTAATAAAGATAACTTTCGAACACTTTCTCCTAAAGTATTATCATATATCTTTATCCTAATAAAGCGTATCAGCTCTGGCAGCAGTCATTTTAGGTTTTACCACCCTACCCGGTTCCAAACCACAAATCTAAACCCCTAAAAGGTACGACGAGCACCCTTGGCACTTTTGTAGGGGAGTTCCCTCGGGGGGTGTTTAGCCCAGCAAGTATTCTTCAAACACCAGATGTCAACCTTCAAGTTATATTTATGTCGTTATTGCTATATTTTAAGGCAAAAGTTCGGCCATTTTTTTCTTCGCGAAATGTGTTAAATGTTTCGCCATTTTGCCTTGCCCTACCAAAACAGCCCCACCTCGTCCCCAGGGCTTCTTGGTTGCGGTCCATTTTTCTGGCATTTATGCTCTACTATCGACGTCGTTTTCCATTTATCGCAAATTTGGTCAACGCTAGCTGGTTATGAAGAATGAGCCGCGGCGTTTGAGCCAATCAGAAAAGAAGAAATATTTTGAATGAATAATAAATGAATTTATGGTTTTGCATATGAAACTACTCGTTGCTGATGTTGCAAAAGTTGGATGGTGAGTTAGGACGACCTTTACACATCCGCCAGACGACAAAAGGTTTGAATGTAAATCTCTTAGTGAAGCCAACGAGAAGCGCGGAAAAAAGCTTGCGACGTCACGAATGGCGTTCCTTTAACCTTTGTTTGGTCGAGTAAAAGGTGCGAGATTTATTTAGCCAATCAATGGTCACCAATGAAGTTGCCTTAACCTTCGATTGGTCGGGTAGAAGGCGCGAGATTCATTTAGACAATCAATGGTCACCAATGAAGTTGCCTTAACCTTCGATTGGTCGAGTAAAAGGCGCGAGATTTATTTAGCCAACCTTTTTCGATTATTGGTCGGGTAAAACCAAAGGCCCGATTGATTCATTTAGCCAATCAATGGTCACCTAACAATAGAAGAAAGAAGGTCAGAAGTAACCTTGATTGGTCGTGATTTTCTTGATCTGTGATCTGTGATGTGACCATATTGAGCTGTAAGAAAGAATGAATGACAAATAGTCTTTGACATCTAAAAAGCCATCAGAAACACGTCCAAGTCCCCGATCGCATGTTTATAAAGTATTTTCCCACAAGTGACAGTTTTCAGGTGCCTGCTAAAGTGCGATTTAGTGATTCGTGGAGAGCTAAGCTTATCAGAGATTTTGTTATCTTTGACTAGACAAAAACGTTCGGAAAAATACATTTCTAATCAAGAGCAGGTACAAGAGGGACAGGTTAACAGTTTCTTTTTACCAAATAAGAGTGTACCTTTTTGTTCTATGTTATCGCCTTTACAGGAGCAATGTCACGATTTTTTGGCACAGTCAAATACCGTTAATACGGACAATAACTTTCTTTGGTGATTTTTGCAGGCATGGCATTAAGACTTAAAAATGTTGACCCAACTTTTTTCAAGTTTCAATCCATGTCCATCATTGCCATCCGTTGTAACAGACAACCGGAAACAGTTTCAATGCTAATAAATAGTCTTAAATAATTTAAACTCGACCATTATTTTTGAAATCCAACTGACACGAAAAAAGTTCAAGCTTTTTAAAAAGACAGCGGAGAACGTGACATAGCCTCTTAAACACCTTATTGTGGGCCAAGAGGAGCCCGCAATCCTAAACTACTCGTTGTTATTACGCATGCGTCGCATGTATGTAGCCAGCATTCGTTTGTACTTCCACTAAGAATGTATGGAATGCACAGAACGCAAACGATCACGCGCGTTAAAAAACGGCACCTTCCATCACTCCTTATGTTTTGATTATCTGTAACGTGAAACTTACACAAAGCACAGAGCTGGAACAAAAGCGTTTTGACCTTCGATCGTTGTCGCCCACACTCCGTAATCTTTGGTTATTTCTAGTTTCCATTTTTAAACTTTACACTTTCTATTACCTGCGTCTGTAGCTTGTGACACAACGCAAAGAGTGTAGCCATTTTATCACTCCTCCTCTTATGAATATTGGGGAAAGCCTGTAAAGATGAGAAAGCAAACAAGTTGATGTGTTTTCATTGACTCTTAACCTTCTTTGATGTCAAGATAAAAGAAAAAAAATAAGAACTTCCTATTCTTTTTTTAAGGCCAACATTCACTTCTTCCTTTCTCGTTTTGTAATAAAGAATTGGCCATGTTCTTAACGAACGGGGAACTGGTGCGAAGAACTCGAATGACAACATGGAACTACACATGGCGTAACTTAGACATTGCATGCAAGAAATTATCTTCCATAAAAGGGATGTGTCTGGACCTCTTCTCGGAAGAGACCATCTCTAGTTCGATTCTTGTAAGCTACCACCTCCCGTAAGCGACCACTCAGTCTTTGCATTTTGGGTGGTCACTTACGGGAAGTTCCATTGTAATCTTTCTTTGGATTAATTACTGCTTTCGTTAACTACCTTTCTGGCCATAAATCCCCTCCTGAAATTCCAAAAAAGAAATAAAAGTTAATCAGTGTCAAATAATCTCATCCCAACACAATATAAGCAATATACATCCCCGACAAAGACGTTAGTAAACGAGACTGCGAACAGTTCCTCAAGGCGACGTTAACGAGAACTTCGAAGAAAAAGCAATAAGCTTAATTTGCGAAACAACCACTCTGCACGTGAGTCACGCTTTTTTGCAAATTTCTTAGCCGTCCCTGCGTAACTACGACGTGATAAGGGGTGATCTGTGTCAGATTGCACTATGGGTGGGACTGTTTGAAGAGACGGGCCGACGGGTTTTGGACCCAGTCTTCAGAGGCCTTATTAAGGTTGCGCGAGAGACCGAGTACGTTTTCATTCAGATTGCACTTTGGGGTTGTTTTAAGAGACGGACCAATGGATTTTGACCCAGTCTCCAGTGAAACTTGGTAATAGCCAATAAAAGAAGAAATAACGTCACCAAAACAGTCCCAAAATGCAATTGGACACAACAAACAGCTTTAGCATCCCAATACAACTCTTAATAGCCTTTTTACAGTTGCAGATGGAAACGAGGCTAGAGTTGTTTTGATACAATGCTTTCTGCTTTATTATGTAAATCATGTTGTTCTTATGCTAACTTGTATCTTTTAAGCATAATTTCCATAAGAAAAGAAAAGAGGTTTGTATCAAAACAAGGTCAACCTCAACCTCACGTTCACTCAAAGGCTAAGATAGTAAGCCCACAACTGTAATACAGTCTGCACATACTCACCACGAAGACTGAATTGTGATTGCTGCCTTAACTTGTTTCTTGTGAAGGTGAAGCATTTGATCTTTTTTCTGTTCTGAGACCTACGAAGAATGTAAAAGTGGAAAAGTAAACATTTGATTTAGGAAACAATCTCGTTATCTAGAAAAATAAACCACTGAAAGGCTTATCATTTCGAGATTTGGTGTATTTATCTCAGGGTGATTTTCAATTTGATTCTACAACTGATGGCCAACTGCTGATGAGACAGGTTAACTAATGACACGTTGCACCGTAAATGATTAAATTAGCCCCGCGACGTGAAATATGCAGGCCCCCACCCAACTCTGAGATTAGCGCGCGCTCCCTCTGATGGGCCAACGTGGCCTTCGACTTAGAATGAAAGCAGTAGGATGCAGAAACTGAAAAATAATTCATTAAATCATCGGCAAGACTGGCTGTTTTTACGTCTCCTTCTGCACACGAGGCCCTCATATCTTAGTGGTCATCCAAGCCTGATCCATCCGTTTGCAAAGCAAAGGTAACACTTTCCTCCTTACTGACTTTAGGACACCGACCGAGTTCTTGATACCGCCGGGGACTTTGGCTATATTCAGACTATAACGGATAGCGTGTTGTGTCGGCACGAGAAGCTATCGGGTATAGAGTGTTTTCACATGACGTCACGGCGGCCATGTTGGTGTCCCAAAACAATGAAACGGCGGCCATGTTGGTGTCCCAAACCAGTCCTCCGGGAGTTGAACTCTTTTCTTATGCAAAAGCTTTCTTTTGTTCCAATAAATTTGCATAGATGCTGGCCACGTGAGTGAAAACACTCAATAGTATAAACACAGCCTTAGTCCTAACAATGTCAATGTGATTTCTTTTCATCAGGAGTACACCACCATTAGATTAGGCTGATTTAGCAACAGAACGGGACCGTCATTCGACGACGGGAAAGCGGGCGGAAAGGACTAAACTCGACTTCCGGTAGCCAATTTGCCGCTCTGCCATTGGTCAAGCCAGTTGTTTGATTTGCGCGCGCAGTCGTCAACAGATGTTCCCGTTCTGTTGCTAAATCAGCCTATTAATTCAGTAACTTACCTGACACCAAAGGTAATAAATGGCTGTCTTCAACTGTTCTCTGCTTTTGATGGCTTCCTCGTGTTGTCTACAAAAAAGAAAATGCTCTTCACTTCTGGAGTATATTCCTATATTTTAGGAAGTGTCCTTAGTCAAACGTTAACAACTAAGTCCACTTTTTTTTAGTATAAAATACTGACCAATGAACAGGAGGGCAATGATGGACGATCCGGACGATGGACTCGCAATCGCCTGGAAAGAAACGATGTCTATATAGAGCCTGCGTTAAGATTATGACGCAACAAGGAACGATCAGGACGATTGAAGCGATCTCCTTTGAAGGCTAAATGGACTCAATCGCACCAATCGTGTCCAAAAAATAACAGGACTGAGTGGAGTCCAGTTTGGCCTGAAATGGTACAATGTACATGTGACTGAACAAAACCGCAGGAGTCTGACTTGTTTAATGACGAGTATGATTACAACGACACTAAGTTCCGACTGTTATCAATTAATCGACAGCAGAATCGATTCATGAGCAGCGATTCATTCACGTGGGACAAAACCGCCAAGCTGGAGAGCGAGTGACTTAAATTTTAAATGATGTGAGCTCTTTGATTGTCTTTTCCCAATACATCATTTTCTCTCCAGCATGGCGGTTTTGTACCATGGCCACGTGAGTGAATGGCTGCAAATGGCCTATTGATCCTGGAATCAGGGCTGTTGATTTGGTTATCAGATTAAATTTAGTTACACCTATGATTAGCTCTTTAACCTTCGTACCTGTCCATTTTGCTGTACAGGTTGTTTATGACTGAGATCAGCCTTCTGACTCGCAATTCATTTCGAATGTTCACAACTTTGATGTCTTTTGTTCGAGCACAGCAACCCCTCCTAATAAGGTGTAAAAGAGGCAGAGTAAGAAAAAAATAGTGTTCCACGTAAACACGATCATCAGTGATAGACGCAACTTCAGCGGCGCGCAAGGAAAGCCTAAAAAAGTTCAGGCTGGTAGGGAATTTAAAACCTTGAATTCTGCGATTCCGGTACAGCGCTCTACCACTTGAGCTAACGAGCCAGCTGAGAGCTGGTCATTAAGTTGGCTTGTTATAAACGAACCTAGGGATGAGAAATAAAAGGTAAAGAAGTTCATCGCAGTAGTAAAACGCACCTTCTGCAGTCCGCCGGCTATATCAGTTGAGCTTACAAGACAACTGAGAGCTGGTCATCTAGTCACGTCTAATGCTGCAATAATCATTCTTCTGAGCGTTTACTTCTCCATCCCAAGGTTCTAATATATGATTTTCATATCGTCATCCTTTCACGTGTTTATAACGAATCAACTTAATGACTAGTCCCCAGCTGGCTTGTTAGTTCAATTGGTAGAAGGCTGAATCGGCATCACAGAGGTAAAGCAGTCCAATCCCGTACAAGCCCGAATTCGATTCGGGCTTTTTTTTTTTCACTGCAAAAGTTGCTGCTACTCCTGCGATGATCATCTTTCGATTAATTCTTTATCCCACAGTTCTAATAAATGACTTTCATATATTCTGCATTATTTTAGATGACTAGTACAGTGGGTATGAAATTAGTCTTTTGGAAGTTTCTAAGAGAAGCGAATATTGTCGTTCCGACGCAAAATGAGGGCTGTGAATAACTTGCAAAAAATGTGCAATTCAAGCTTGTCCTTTGGACAAGCAGCTCTGACAAACTTTCTTGCCCGGGGCCACTTCCTGCTCGTCTTAGTTACTGATTTTGTTAATGGATGAATTGCTTGCACCCTGCCTATTGGGCAAGTGTGCTTTAAAATCTACTCGTCCCAGACTACTGGACGGGAGTTTTTTCGGGCCCTGTTTTGTGTACATTTTGTACTAGTACTGAGCAAAGGGCAGGGAGAACAAGGCTGTATTTAAGGAAGACAAACGCGATAACAGAAGTGCACAAGGAGTCCAAAATTTTCTTACCAAGCTGCTTGTATACAGGCTGCTGCATGTTTTCGGCGTCGAAACTGACAGAAGTTGAACTTTTTTCTAACTAGATAACCACGAACATGAGCTTGGATAATGGTTGCTGCCAGACTCAAAAGGCGGACAGCTTCTTCTTCTGTCATAATTGGATCATCTTGGGTCAAAAGAAAGACCATAATTATGAGTACAGAACATTGTAATAGAATAATTCTCATATAAACATAGTTATTCTTGTAGAACTTTAAATGACTGGAACGCGTTACCAAACGAAATTATTATAATAAACAATCAGCCGCTAATCGGTGGTTAATTCGAAACAGCTTTATTTGAGTATTGTAGACAGTAATGAATGTTATTCCGCTTTATATCTTGAATGGTGGTATCCCCTTTGCAATACTTCAGATTTTTGAAAAAAGGTAAAGCCATTTTTTGAAACGACAGATTCTCCCTCCAAAAGCTTTGTTCACCCGGAGGGTGTAAAGTGCAGGTTGCAGGTTACATAACTTATACTACTACATTAGAAATTTCTGCAATTTGATTGGCTTAGAGCAGTGGTATTTCAACTTAATTTGAAATACCTACATGTGAAAATTACAAACCTTTTGCAGGTAGTAGTATAAACAAATAATAGCATGATTTGTACATAATATTCGGCATAAATACCACTCGTGATATTTCAAAATTGTCTCAAATTTCACTCGCCTGACGGCTCGTGAAATTACGTATAACAATTTTGAAATATCACTTGTGGTATTTATGCCAAATATCACTACAAATCATGCTATTACCTATACAAATTCTGACCTGCTACCTGCAATTTATACCCTCCGTTGTTCACCAAATTTTCACCCTGTCTTCACAGTTTGTGTTCTAATCTGAATCTTCCAACTGGCAATATCGTTGATGTCTGTACTAGAAAACCCACCTGACTGCGTTTGCTGCGACTGCTCCAAATCTGACAGTGGTAGTGGAATATAGAAGCTTTCAGATTCCAACAGGTTTTCGCCATCTAAAACAAAAGCCAAGGCCAGTCTGACTTACTCATCCTCTGATTCACGGGAAAAGGCAGATTATAACGGTAAAAATGAATCCACAGTCACGGTACTTACCCAGGTCATCATTTGCTGGTACTGGAGATATCTGAGAAAGATGATTGTTCAGTCACTGACACTGGCGGCCGGTTAGCTTAATTGGATAAGCGCCGGTCTGCCGAGCGGGATGTCCTGGGTTCAAACCCCGGCCGGACAAACACCCAGGGTATTAAAATAACTGAGGAGAATGTGCTGCCTTTGTTGTGACATCTACAAATGGATAGACATTCTAGTCTTCCAAGATAAGGACGAAAAACCGTAGGCTCCGTCTCACAGCTCTTTCACAGTTCTGACTCTTGTGGGTCGTACACGAAAAAGAACCCACACTGCTGTGCGTAAAGGGAAGGGGGCGTAGACGCTGGTGGTGTGGTACACCCTTTCATGGGATAACGGGGTGATGAAGGGGTTGATATCAATTCGGACTTTATTCCTGCTTCATCCCCTGTTACCGTATTGAGTCACCGTGGGGAGTTTCAATAAAGGACAAAAAAATCCAAATAAAAATTATTCCCCATAGGAGTCGAGTCTATTTCAAATTAACACAAGTGTGATGGTTTACGGTCGTTTCGCTGACGTGTTAGGTCAGTTCGCTTACGTCTCGTAAGTCCATTCGTTGACCAAGAACAAGATCTTCTTTGCACATGTTGAATTAATTGGCTTTATATTAGGTGTCAAAATGATATAAAATGATGTGAATCCAAATATTCAACAAAAGAGCATATTCAATAAGTTAAAAAAGTGGACTGAAATAATAGGCTTGATCTTTTCACGAATTCAATCAAAATTTTTGAGTGATTAATTTTTTGACACATTAATTAATTATTATCACTTTTTTATTTCCCTTATTTTTCCGATTGCTTTTCACTATTTAAAACCTACTAAGTTGCAGACACCTCTCTGTTACAGAGCAGATCTACTGGTCCAAAACACTGTAGCAAAGACATACAATCCCTACAATGCGTTCTATAACAAGAACACCTCTTTAATGAGGCTATTTGGCTCCATCCCTTTGGTATGTGGGCATAACGTTTAACCGTACTTCATTTCAATATCTGGTTTACCTTGGTAGAATCAATGGGTTCGTTGCAAATGTGGTGCAATATGGACACGAGCTGAAGGTGTTGTCCAAGTGAAGGATGTCTAATTTGGTGAAATGCTTGGTTCAGTAATCTTGCAAGTGTTCTAAAAAGAAAAGATGAAAAATGATGGCGCGCATTACAGATCAATGGAGGCTTCCACATACTTACAATAATTTATTAGCGAGAAATGGTTGAGACATGCTCGGAAACAACGTGAACACTTTGCAGTATAAAAAAATCTCAAAACTATACTGTTTCACCTTTGGAAAGATCAAATGAGCGATTTTTCATCTCGACACTCGAACCACTACACTCAAAACACATTACATTACATAAGCACATTACATAAACCAGCTTCATTCATCATAATGGTGTATTCCTCGCCCAATATTTCACCGACAAACTAATCACCTGTGTTTACTCCTTTTCCCTGCGCACTAGAACATGAATATCGTTTTTATTTTTAAATATAATCAATGTAACTGGTTTGAGGAAAGTTAATTAAGCCGCTTTTAGTAGAAAGTTATTAAACTGACCTTTCTTGATGACTCACTAACTGTCCATCCAGATTCCTTAGGTCAGGACAGCAATACACTAGGTAAGGTCTGTAGCAGATCTCTCTAAAATAGCGTCAAGGATGCTAGAAAAGGCTTACAAGTCAACGAACTAAAATTTGAATAATTAAACAGCACTTGGGTCCTAATAGAGCAGTCATTGTTAACGATAAAATTAAAATTGTGTTCTTTTACATCCTGAGGGGTAGTCTCTCGTATACGCTATATAGGTACGTGCTGCCCCATCACGTAGGGTTTTTGCGCCGTTTTGGTCTGAAAACGGGTAATCATACACTTTGCCCATTTTGGTCTCGAATCGGGTGTGGTTTTTGAGGGAACTACGGGAGTGTATGAACGTATTTATCGTTTCAATTCCAAATGAGTGAGAAAGAAAGAGAAATATGCGAATTCGAAATGTATTTGAAGAATTTTTTTGTTTGCGCTCTAATCTAAGTAATAAGTAATGATAACATAATTCTGCCTAAAGGCCAGGTCTGAAGACCGCCTGCCCGCCTGGCGAAAACCGTCATACATTTTCTTGTAAAAAAAAAAACCCTCGTTAATGCGGCCATTGGCCCATTGGTGACCGTTTTAACGGGGTTACACTGTATCTATTAACGGTAATCATTGTTGGTACGGTCTGAAACATAGACACTTTAGCGAAGAATCTAGTCTCCAGTGGAGCTGTTTTGTGTCTTGCCACAAATAACAGCTGTGCAGGAAGGCTGTCAGTCACTCGCTCTGCTTCACGAGTCTATGAACTGCCATGTCCCTGAGACAGAATAAATTCCTGATTTTTAAATTTCACACATTCACAGGCAACAACCTAAGAAGTAGTCTACATTCAGAAGTCTACCAAAGTTAAAAAATTACACTAGACAAAGAATCTGCAAAACAGCAAACATATAGAACTCAATAAAAACTGGAAGTCAGGCAAGAATATCTTTCAAAGTTTAAGAATACCATCACTAATGCAGCTTTTGATATAATTCATCATTTTACATAATGTTTTAGGGCCTGTTTACATGGAGGTGGGGGACCCCAGGTAGGTGAGGTAATTAAATAACCCGCTTAGGTGGGGTAACCCGCCTGTCCATATGATCTCTCATTTTAATATGATCATGTTCACGTGATAGGTGAGGTGACCCGCCACATGTTACCTCACCTATATAGGGTCCGCCAACTCCACGTAAACAGGCCCTGATAAAGGAGCAGCAGTATCGGCTCGGGATTTTAAATCCGATAAAACACGTGCTGGGAGTTTATTAAGAGACGGTCCAGATAAGAACGATAGCAACAACGGCAACGAACATGTTGGAATGCAAAAAAGGTGCTAACTTTTCTATTGTCTGTACTTACTTCTGATTGGCTTAAACAGCAAAAGTTAACAAAACTTCATAAAGCAGTACATATATTCATCCTTACTTTCCAACCATCTTCCATATAACAAAATCTGGTCTCAGTTTGAATAACAAAGAAATCCTACGTGGGGAACATGTAAAATTGTAAACTTTTCTTGGCTATTGTTTTCAACTCTTGTGATTGGTCAAAATCTTTTAACCCAAAAAAACACCCTTTCAGAGTGGAGTGTAAATGCTTTTTACTGCATGAACGGCCTTCATGTAGGTTTATGCATTCCCTGGGTAAAAATGAGAACATTCCTATGTGGGGAAAGCACCGTTGCCCCATAACAAAAGAAATTGCTATCCACATTACCCGGATCATTACTTAAATGACTTCAAAAACATTTCTGGAAAAGCGTGTCTCAATGGAGTTAATAACAATGACGCTTTTGTGAACGTTGGAAATTAGCATACGGGAAAAACATTACGTATGAAATAATTATTATGCAAGACAATCACATCTCACACATATTTAGAAATTTTCCAGTCTACAAACGACACTAAACCGAAGAGATGGCGTCTTGTTCCCGAGTTTTTCGGAAGACTAAAAATGCGGAAGAAGAGGAAGTTAATCGAAAATGGCACCCCAAAGTCAACAAGTACAGTGAAAAAGTAGTCTGTGAAAAAACATTTTCTGGAATGGCCGAATGGTAGGTAAACAAAAATCCGCGTCATCCTACGTGTTTTAACCTGTCTTTGTTTTCTAGCTATTATTTTCCTTGCCTCTATTGTGATGACTTCTCAGTGACTTCTTTGTATTAATTGTTGTACCTCACTGGTTAGTTTCACAGCTTTTTTACGCCAAGTATGAGCCAAAAATCCAGTAATCGAGCCTTGCGTATTTACAACTGGCAAGTCTTGAGTACAACGCTTGGAAATATTAAATATTACCGCTGAGTCACTTTATAACTTTTGGCTGATAAAATTAGTAGACTGTTCACAGTCCCCTATTTTTCCGTAAGACCGTCCAGATCAAAGACTCTGCGTTAAGGGCGACCATCTTAGATAAGTGTCAAATCTACTTGGGGGTGGGGGGTGAAACGGTTTTGGAGGAGGCGAGGAAAATAAAGGGACTGTACCAACATCCCTGCGACTCGCGTTCAGGGGGCATGACAGGAATTTCACCCCTTTTACTATTCATGAATTAACAAACTCCGCTTGCGATGAAAAACATGCCAGACACATTTAGCATCGACTTTGCGTGCTTACAAACATCTCCTTTCGAAACAGTGATTAAAATACGGTTAAAAGGACGTTATTCCATATTATATCGGCCAACATGAACAGCCCCCCTTCCCCTAGAGCTATAATCCCCAACGCCCACGCCCGCCCCCCCCAAAAAAACATTTGAAATTCAAGATGGCCGCCATTAACGGTAAGAAGCGCTATATCTCGACGATCTCACGGAAAAATACTGGGGGGACTGTGAACATTCTATAAAATTGGTGAAAGAACAAAGTTTTATTTTGCACACTAATAAATATAGTGTATGTTATTTTGAAAGCACATTTTTTTCCACCCACCATTTGTTGTGTCAGTTGCAGTGTTGATAATTAATTAACAATTATTCCTCGAGCCCGAACGGGCTCTGAGTCAACAGTCAGTAAACAGGGCTATTGACTGAGAGGCCATGAAGGCAAGAAGAATAATTGTTTTAGTAAAATCCAACTAGTTGGTCGAAAATATCGAGACAAAACAACTTTAGCTAGCAAAACGCGATTCAGCCGCCACTGTTTTGGCTTTCAAAGCCGGCGCTTTTCGCTACTAGTGGGCTATAACATATAGCCTAGTAGAAGCTAAACCAATCAGAACGCAGCTTTGATAATAGACCACTAGTTGGATTTTACTAATATTCATAAGAGAGATTAAGATTCACGTTTACGCCAAACGGCAAACGTGAATTCGTAGTTACTAAAACATGGAACGACCTAAAACCACCTCAAACCATCTACAACCACTCGCAAACAATCTAAAACCATCTAAAACAGGGTATAAATGTCTGTCCCGCAGAATCCTTTAGTCTAGTGTGAACGTGTCTCACTTGTAGAGCCTGATTTTATACAGCTATTAACCCGTTTACAGTTGCAAGAATTAAAAAACATTATATAATGATATTTGATAATTCTTTTCAGCAAAATGAATCAAAACGTTCTTACCAGTAACGTCCCTTGGCGGGAAGGGAAGACCCGAATATGTGATCCAAATTTTTCGTTCCGTTTTAGCTCGTAAAGTTCCAGCTACTCTAGCCTGTGCCGGGCTCTCAGATAGTATAGTGGGGACGTATTTACAACGAGCAAAGCGAAAATAAGAAGCGCGCATATAAATAATAATAATAATAATAAAAATAATAATAATAATCCTATTTACAATTAATTTGCTTGAAAAAAAGAAAAAACTATTCATTCAAAACACTATTTACAATTCCTGTCGATTTAAAAAGCACTTAATTTAGCTTAGAAAGAGTTAATTTTAATGAGCACATAAAAGCAGCTTAAAACAATTCTTGCGAATAGAATTGGCGTGAATCTACCGATTTTTGTGAAGTTTTTGTTAGAATGAATGCTGAACGACAATTGAAGGGGAAACTTGGTTACGTGGTACAAATTCATGTTTGCCGTTTGCCGTAAACGCGATGCTGAATACATGTAGAGACCTTTAGCATCAGGTTTTTCATGAGAAACTGCAAACCTTTTGCAGTTCACGTTTACACGGCAGGAAGGGCTTCTAGCGGTAAGTAACTAATGGCAAGTTTTTTTGCCACTTAAACGCCTTACTTAAGTTTGAAATCCTGGCAAGGTGAAACTGCAAACGTGTAACTGCAAACAGTTTGCGGATTCCAGTCAAAAACCTGATGCTAAAGGTCTCTAATCTTTCCATTATATCTGATAAAACACCGCATACTACTAAGGGGAGGTTTTATCGATATACATTTTGTAATGTCACTGCACGTGATGTATTATCGACCATTTAATAGGTCAATGGGCTTAAGAATTATTAATGAGTTTGTGAATGACATACAAACATTAATCAAGAATACATTGACTGATTGATATATTATTTCATTGACTGAATTAGCGTGCAAAAGATACAGTCTCCACGCATTACTGGGAAGCACACATGGATTATTCACAAGTGAAAGCTGCTGCAGATTGGCTAGACACGACAGGTACATCGTCTACAATAAAAAAAAATTAAAAACTGCTGATATTCAGCATTCCACTGATAAAAAAAGGGGTGTTCAAGAACAGAATACTCACTGAGAAATTGCCGGTATCTGAACATGATTATTGAAAAAAATAATCACCTTACAGGTTGGGGGGGTGGTGTAGCCCCTCTAAACACTGCACAACCTTTTCTTTTATATTTAACAGCCTTCTTATTTTGCAATTTTTTTTTCTCTTGTTTCGACATCTGAGACAAGTTATTTCATGCACAGTCAGTACCAATCAGGTTAACTACAGTGGCAGATCCAGGCGCTTATTTTTAGGCCAAACTGAGGCCTGAAAAACCCCCAAAAATTTTTGAGACTGCCCCCCCCCCCCTCCTCTCTCAGGGCCTTTATGACCCCCCCCGCCTAATCTGAAGGACTGAATCCACCACTGAACTATACAAAGTTGTTGTGATATTCTTTCCAACAACTTGGCCTAAGGATGTTGCTAGCATTTTATTACCAAAAAGAGTCCTACAAACTGTATTAGCATAGTTATTATTAGAAGAAAAAAGTGTCTTCTGTCATTGCACAAGCTACCTGTAAAATAACTAAAATACCCTCATATGTACCTCATTAAGGTCTGATATCTCATTATCTGCCAGTGACAAGGTGCAGACAGTGCTTGGTAAGTGTTCTTTAATGACTGCCAGGGAGGATATCAGATTTCCATGAAGCAAAAGAGTCTGTTGACATGAGAGAAAAACAAGCACAAAAAAGCTAACTCAAAGAATTTGCAACAAAGAGGTCTGTGATTAAATCACTTAACTGCAATGAAACACTGGTTGCTAGGCGGGTCAGTGAGGGAGGATGGGGGGAGGGGGGGTAGGAGCCTGCAAGTATAGGGGAGATATATGGAGAGAGGAGAAGTAAGGGAAAACCACAAAATGCTTAATATTTTGCAATTGAAAAGGTGCTTAAGTGAGGAAGCAATGAAAAATGGGGCAGGAGTTGGAAATGCAAGGACAGGACAATAGATAATATTTTATTTGGCATCAGGAGGAGCATGCTGAGATAATCAAACCACATGCAGCAGTGCAGGTTTGCCCTTTTTTGTGGAGCTTGGCTTTGTGTCTTAATCTTTTTTGTTGTCATAACAGCCATTTACAATTTTCACTTAACTTAGCTTGATGCAATGATAACATACTAAGGTCCTTCTGAAAAGGAAAAACGTACATACCTTTAATTTCATGAGGGTTCTCAAGCCAGAGATAACAGCAATACTACAAGAAGACAATAAGATAACAGAGGATTTAATGCAGCCGAAACCAATTGTGGAATTGCACACATTTCAGGCATGCTACTGATGAACAGTATTTTGGGCAACAACAATTCGCTTTCTGTCCCCTTTGAATTGAATATTTTCCTGTAAGGTCCCTCTCACCTCAAACAATGCTGATTCTTTTAGCAAAATGGGTAGAAATGAGTCCTTTTTTGGAGCAGGAGATGAAGGGATGAAACCAAGGGCAATAAAAAACTGTCATTAATTTATTGTAACAATGACTTGTAAGAGGTTTTTCACAGTGTCCCAAGTTCTTTTCACCTCCACTGTACACCATGACACAACCTCTTAAAAAGGAGGATGCCATTTCCAGTTTAGATAATATAATTAATTACCTATTGTCTGACAAATCCAGATGAGTCAAGTTAGTATTCTCATCAAGATTTTCAATTTCCTGCAAAATAAAGTAAGGAAAAAGTAAAATATAAACTAAAATTGATATAATAAAAATACAGACCACTAAAATTGCAGTTTACCTCAATACTGTTACCAGAAAGGTTGAGCCATTCCAGATACCTCAGTGACCTTATACCTTCAAACCAAAAACAAACCAAATTACTTGCTATATACTACCATTTGTTACAATGTAATTTGACAATAATTTCAAAAAAAATATATAAATGCCTTTATCAACCAATGTTTTTTAGAAAGCCTAAGTATTTCCTTGCAAGTTGCAAATGGAGGTTACAATATTGCCCTTGTGTCCTGTGAGAGGTACCACCAAAACAAACAAGCATCACATTCATGTAAACAGTCTACATTTTAAAGTTTAATCAGTCCATCAGGAAGACATGCGTGGAAAATAATTTTCAGATTTTGCGGACAACTTTAATTTGTTAGGACTTGAATTAAGATTAGATCACAATCAGTCTTTGATTCCTCCAAACAAATGAACGATTTTCCAGTAACTAGAGAAAGAATACTGCATTTTTGTCATAATTTTATGCAAAGCAAATGTGACTAATGTTGCTGCGCTGAGATTGTAAGTTTCTGTGTGATTAATGCGATACATTCTATCGATAAGCTCTCCTTCTTGTGTAAGGTAAAGGATCGCTTTTAATGGAGAAAAAAACTTTAAGCTGTACAATTCTTTTAAGCGACTTGCAATGTTTGCCCCCTGCTGATCCCAGAATCCTGTGCACATAACTGGGTCTTCGATTACTGGAAAATCATTCATTGCACTCCACGAAAACAATATACCTTCAATGCATATAATGCTATTGTTACTGAGATCCAGAACTCGCAATCCTTGGGCTGCACTAATACCTCTCATATCAACAATGTGGTTTCCAGCTAATGACAGCTAACCAAAAAAAGCAGAGTTAAATCCCTATCAAATTAAACACTTGTGCAGTCCTATTCTAATTGGCTTGCAAGTTAAACTTAATTAATCATTTTAAAAACTGACCAAAGCACCAATTGTTCTTTATAACAAAATGCTGATCACGAAATTATGAATATATGAAAATCATACACGTATATGTGAAATGCAGAGTGAAGAATTATTTGAAGGAAGATCATCGCAGTTGTATACACAACTTATGCTGTTGCTAAAAGAAAGCCTGAAAAAAAGTTCAGGCTTGTACGGGATTCGAACTCTTGACCTCTGCGATAGCAGTGCAGCGCTCTACCAATTAAGCTAACAAGCCAACTGGGAGCAGGTCGTTGAAGAATTGGTAAGATAAAGTAATTGGTAAACTTTATTTATAAACATAACTCTATTCAAGTACCTGTTGCAAATGTGCGAAGTATTGTAAATTCTCCACCTTTGAGATTTCATTGTTACTTAACAGAAGAGTACAAGGTGAAATGCCTTTGGATAAACGCTCTATCTTCTTCAAACCACGATCTGAAACAAGAGGTGCTCCCTTTTATAGTACATACATGTAGGTCCATGAATATTTTCTGGAGTAACTCATTAAATGAACTTGCAGCAGAATGACTTCAAAAAATTAGGAGACAATAAAACAATAAAGATTACTATGTTTAACTCTCGCAGCTGGTACTCACACTACAGTGGCTGCATGTATGTTTAGTCAGTATTTTACTGTACAGACTGTAAATTGCAAAACTTGTTTCAATTGCAATTTTTGACAATTTATAACGTTCATTATCATTCATTCAAAATATTTCCCTGATCCTAAAAGCACATGCATAATTCACAATAACCAGCTACTGATGACCAAATTTGGAAGAATTTTGCGATTAATCAACCAACGATGTCAAAAGTGCAGCTTCCTTGCAGGTTAATGCACCATTAACCGAGACCTGGGGAAGAGGTTGAGTTGTTTTGGCTGTGAAAACAAAAATGGCGGAGATTTTACTTGCTTCAAGAGTAAGAACTAGGCAAATAATAGCTAAAAACATGGCAAGAACAGCAAGAAGACAACTCAAAGGCCGCCATCTGCTATTTGGAGAATATTTGCGGAGCTGAACAACCTTAAATGTGCACCATCGAAGATGAACTTAACGTTGACGGAGGTAAGCATGTTTTAGCTATGTTTTTAAACTAGGAATGATTTTGAATGAATGATAAAACAATTATTGAATTCGGCTTTTGTATCATATGAAGAATTATGGAGATCTCAGAGGGTGTTATCCGCCTTGGCCTACGGCCTTGAAGGATAACACCCTCCTCTATCTCCATAATTCTTCATAAGATACTCAGCCTCATTCATTAACTGTTAATTAATTTATAACGCTATTCCTTTCAGACTGTCTTGGACTATAATAACCTTGCTTGTTCTTCCAAGATTTGTGGCCTGTGTGCTTTGTGCTTGAGCCATAAATTGGGCTGGAAAAGGTTGATCTGTAACCTACAGTACTGACCTCAAATTCAATTAGTAAGAGGTTAGTATTACAGTATGGTACTCACTTGAAAGGTTTACAACACCATTATCTGTTTCTAGGGCAGACATAGTCCCAGCTTGTTTAGATGGCATCTCCCTATTCTGAAAAGCTTGAAAAATACGGAAATTACATTTTACACTGACTTATCATCAAGAAAATAATTATGGTACATGTATTTAATATCAAGTTAATATATTGTTAGAATTCGTAATTTAGCAACTCTTGGCCATTTAGCCAGTCAGCTGGTAGCTTAACAGATTGTAGACTTAAAAGAAAATATATGTGTGAGAGATAAGGAGCAAATCTGAGTTGATGCTTCTTTACGAACGTACAGTTTTAGCAAGGAATATGCATTTGCCTAGTCCCGATAGCCTCATAATTTTGCACAGCCAATTCATTTTAGGTCACGTGGTCCAAGCAAAGAGGTGAAGAAGAAGTTTGCCGCCCTTTCATCTTGGATACATCACCGAAGTGAATTGACCGGAAGGCCTGGGGTGCTTACCATTTGACAGAAAATTTCGGAAATCCCGGATAGAAGGTAAATGGTAAGGTCACTTATGTTTTGAGGTAGTCCTTTCATTCCGGTTGGTACGAACCAAACGGAATGTTGCTTACCATTAACCAGTTTCTCGGTTCCAGACTCACGCTACACAAATTCGCCCCTTTTTTTGGATTCAAAGCGTAACGGATGTGATATTTTTACGGTAAACTGGCAAATCGCTTACCATTATGCTTTCGACACCCCAACCGGATTTTTCTGTCAAATGGTAAGCACCCCTGGGATTGAAACGCCGTACAGGGACTAGGAAAGAATTGCATCAGGACCACAGCTTTTTGGGGATTTAAATTCTGCAGGATTTTAGTAATACCAGCATTGTTGAAGGAGATCAAGTCTGGTGGATGACAAATTCTTAGGGCGTTGTTCTCACTACAACTACTAAAGCTGCCATTCACTCCTTGCAAAAGCAGAGGTAACATGACTTTTGTTAACATTGACCAAATCCAAATCTAATTTCAGGATTTCCTTTCTAGAAGGTTAAAGTTTGTTGTTTCCTTCAGAATACTATCCAGCTGTGCATGGTGATGTGTGGAAGTACATAGGTGTTACAGTTTTGTCAATGACATTTCTTGCACACTGAACCACGGAACACAACTCGACACTTCAAAACACGGTACACCCGAAACTATAAGCACGGAATACTTCTACAAAACCTCCACCGTTATAAGAACTTTGTAAGTTATTCATAGCTATTCTACCAAGAACTACATGAACACAGTAAAGTGTCTGATTGTCAAAGGGAACAACGGAAATTGACATTGCGTATATCATTCGGAAGGACGAATGAGATCTCTGAAGAGGGTGCTCTCCTAATGCAAAAAAAAAGCTGAAAAACTGTTCACGAACCGTAAAAATACTAACAGGGGAGCGGTACAGCTAAAATAAGGTAAAAATAAATAGCTCACAAGCGACAATCGCTACGTACCTTTTGACGCTGTTCCTTCGATCTTCTTCTTCGAAACAAACAGAAATCCCGCGAAAAGCTCTCGCAAGTCCTACTCGGTCTGAAGTGAACGCGCAGTCATTTCCAGGTTTCCGCTCCGAGGGCTAGAGAATATGGACAATTTAAGGACAATAAAGTACCCAAATTCACAAGTCGCCGCAAGTCAGGAGCCCTGGTAACATACACGTTATCAATCTAAGTGAAATGTATCTTATTTATTTTGGAAAATTGTGCCCTCATGGATCTAAAGGGGAGGAAGGAGGGAGGGGTATGGGGAACACAAAAAATCTTCAGGTCTTACGTTAATACCCATTTGGCCAGTTTATCAACTTACCTGTCATTTTACGATCAGTCTGCCGCTCATATACTTCGCAAAATTCTGCTTATTCAAGTACATGTAGTAGCTGGTACCACTCAAACGAATTTTGCTGCGTTCCTGCTGCTATCTGTTATTTTGGGCCGGGTATCCCAAATCCCCTGGAGTGAGGGTGGATGTCGCTGAAGCCTTCACCTTGTTTAGTACGAACATCGTTCATTTTGCTACACTGTTTAGGAGAAGAAATTTATTTTCATGACCCTAATTCACTTTGCTTCGCATACAGAAGTAAGTAGTTTTATATACACTGTATACAAGGTGTTACAAAGCTAGCATGACAGAAAACTGAAAGATGTTTTGGAGAAAAGTTTTGGTAACACACATGTAGAGACATCTGTAGAAGGCTCATCGCCAACCTTCACACTCTTTTAAAAATTTTAAGGGTTCCGGTTTTAAAAAAACACTGTTCAAGAAGCTGAACAAACCTCGAGACCCTGAAAATCGTACCTTGTTCAGCGGCACATACCCGTTCTATGGTTCTATAGGCCAAGTAAGGCGCCAGTGCCCAGTCCACCGCGGGGCTCGCTCAACCCTATCTGGAGGAATTTGTTAGCTAAATTTTCTATTGTTATACTGCATGGGTGGATCCGGAGAATTCAGAAAAGGGTGGCTGGGACACTTAGCAGCTCTATTCTAGATACTTTTTATTTTTCTGAGACAGAATTCTGCGAAAATAATACAAAATTTCAAAGGAAAAGGGGTGGCCACAGCCACCTCGGCCCACCCCAAAATCCGCCCATGTAATGCACCTCCCGGAATACAAAGATCACTAAGTGAGTCGGGTATCCTCGTTAGTTACATTGCGAATTCTTTTCCCACTGTGTGGGCCGCAAAACTGTCTCCCGCCTTATTTCGAACCCACCTCAAGATATCAAATTCAGCGAAAGCATTCTGAAACTTCTCGTATGCACTGAGTCGGCTGCAAGTGGCAACTTTTGCAGGTACGTTTGGGTGGGTAAAGGGTAGAAAATGAAGACTTAAGACCCCAAACGAATAATACCCTCAAAATCAGTTGAAAAAGCCCGAAAAGCCAGCTATTCAGATCAGGCCTTGGTAAGATAGGGCGAGCCACTTATGAGCAAAAACGCGACTTTTCACTTTTCTGTGAAAGAAAAATGAATGCGAATGTCGTCACAGATCAGCAACTCCATATCCCATAATCGCGTTCGTCAGAACGCATCCTAATCTGGTGTTCCCTGTGACATCAAGGTAAACATTTTCTAGCCTACGTGTAGCCCCACCCTCCCCCTGCTATCACGGGTGACTGCCGATTAGCCGCCCCTATTAATTTTATCAGGGGCATCTCGGCTGGGAAACTGGACACCTTTCGACTCGATTTCGTTTCCGTAAGTGACGAAAGCGGATTCGTAATCAATGATTACTTCTAGTATACATTTACTATCTTAAAGATTGAGCTCAACACAGGTTAGGCTTTCAATGTTGAAACACAGAAACGTATTGCAACTTGAAAACATTGACCGAGCCAACTTTTTCGAGTTAAACTCCTTTGTCGAAAAATGACCAAAAACTGATAATGCCTTTTTTCTTTGACTGAATCATTTAATGATCATATTTCTTCTAGAGTTCCAAGTGAGGGAAAAGGTTACTGAGAATGCGCCAATAATCAAAATAATATGGAATATGGAAGTCACCATGACAAAACCAGTTTAACCTTACGTCAAAAGTGGCGTGATTGCTAAAGAAAAAATGGAACTGATGCAAGATTAAGGTTGAAAAAAATTAACTTTAAATACTGCAAAACAATATTGCCGTCAAGGAACACGATTCCAGTTACAGGAAATGCTGGTAAGTATAGCTATTCGATTCTAGGAATGGTTAAAGTACGGGCTAGTTAATAAGGACTGGTATGATAACAACAAACAGTCCCAAGCTGACGCCAACGCTAGCTCCGCTTGAGTGCTTTTTCTCGTCATCAAACTTCACTTGCTCCAGTTTGGGATAATAATCATTCCAAAAGGACATTCTTCGAGGATGAAACGATGCCGCCATCTTGGGACTGACTTCAACCTTCAGATAAGTTCTGTGGCTAGAGTTAAACTTCCCCAGCGTAACACCGCTGACTGGTTGTGGTGTCGGATCACCCGTTCTGGCAAAGTTTACGTATAAGGCCATGATAAACAAGCTTACGTTTTTGTCAGCCGCGTCGTAATTGAATGGCGAATTCGGCAGTAATGGGACTCCAAAGTCGTACATAATGTTGTTGGCATGGACCACACCCATTCACTCCGATCCAAAACTTACTTTTGATCGGTGGGCAAATTCGAACATGTAAACTGGAGAAACTTGGCTTTGAATGCCGGCGACCTCATGACTTGGTGCGAAGAACATTAAATCACTAAGAACATTCACAAGTTGGCTTCGGAGTGCGTAAACATTGCTGCTCTCAGGCCATGGGGTGTACATAAACTCCAACGCATTGGTTATAAGGTCAGCTGTCTTTGTTCCGGAATAATATATGTGAAAATAAAACTTTCGGAAAGTTATTCATAATATTTTTAGACCTTTTTTGAGATTATAAGAATACTCGGACACCAAATTCATTGCGACAAGAGGAGCCCACAATCCTAATCCCCAGGTTGTTATTACGCATGCGTCTCATGTATGTTTGCATGTGTGTAATTTTCAGTAGCGTCCAGTATGAGTCTATTGGGAGGTCAGAGTACACAGTCACAGCACATTTTAATAGCAGATGGAGAGTGGGTGAATGAGTTTCTTAAAAACAGCGAAGAGTCTGATCTTGAATAAGTCGATGAGCGAGGAAATTTGATGTCCAATCACAGGAAACATTTATGGATCTTAACCGTTCTACTGTTCTTGTCTTTGCCTTTGTTTTGAACTTTTCTGCCTCACCATTTATGAGATGAGATATTTGGAAGGAAGGCTTGTTAAATGTGGTAGTAGAGAATTGGGTGGGAATTGGAAGGGTATTTTTGAGTTTTATTTTATTAGCTGGCGTGTGCATTTGAACAAGAGATAAAAGAAAATGATTTAGGATTGCATTTTCAGAGTTAAAAACATTCTCTTTTGTAGCAAACATAAGGTGTAAACTTACTCCTTGATTCGTGCGCTAGCGAGTTTTGTGAGGAAGGTCTTGAAGAACGTCGGACTCACTCCATTGTCCACACTCTCTTTCAGCCCAAACGATAACTTTGCCATCTAGCCTGCGTAGCAGGCGTCGAAAGGGGTAGGGGATAGGGAAAAAGGGAAAAAGTGAGACGGGTAGGGGGGAGAGGTTTTACCTTTATATACTAGAGAGAAAACCGTTTACATAAAAACCCATAAAACGGCCATAAATCGACCCGTGGACCACACAGGAGAGACGTAACACACATTTTAAGTAAGGTAAGCTGTTTTTTATTGAAATCCTTTCATTTTCGTAGGTTACAGAAACGATAGGTTTTTTTCCCATACACACACTGCCATACAAATCCTTATATTTTGAATGTTACGCAACAATGCTGATGCTCGCCGATGCTCGTATTTCGAGCTTGGGCTACCTGTGATGCAACCATCTACAACAATGATGAAAATCGTGGCATTTCTCTTAGCTCATTCGGTATTCGACGAGCTTCAGTATCTTAAGAAACCATGAAGAAACCTTGAAACCTTCAAGTGTTCCCTCATATTCATAGTACTTTAACAATTTGTTTATTTTGCAACAGACGTCGACTTAGTTGTGCGCATTGGTTCATTTAGGATTAGAACAGTAGATTGTTGACACGGTTACACTGAAGCATTCAAAATCGCTCATGCACATTAAACGTGTATGTTTTTCTGTGGGGAGAGGACGGCTGTACACAGGCCAGAGATATCAAGCTACCGTCAAGTTTTACTCGTCGGCGGAATCGTAATGAGGTTATAAAATGAACCCGCGTTTTTAGCGGCCCTTTTCGTAACGGCATAAGTTGTTTCACCGGACATTTCTCTTAAGAAACCATAAAAGGAGCGATTTTTGTTTAAAGACCGACGGTAACATCGTAGCCTGCGAAAAAATCCGTTTCTCCTCGCTCTTCGCCGCTGGGGACGTTTCGCGCGGAGGAACGTCTGCGACTCAGCGGCAGAAATCCCATACTGATGACGCAAGTCGATGTTTACATAATAAATTCGGTAGTCGTGGGGTTCCGAATATAAATATGTCCAATTTTACAGGTCTTCTGGCCGATTTAGGTAAAGTGTTGTGTTCATCTGCAAACGAGCTTTAGCAAAATTCATATGCTTCTTCTAGAGAAGACAATATTCCAGAAATATTGACTGTTTTGTTAGAGATTGTTCGCGTTTACATTTGACCTCTGTGGCCTTTTGTAGACTGCGAGCAGTCTCTCTTTTTCTCCAGATTTAGTAAGGGGAGTGGACGCGCGCCTCCCCTGTCTCGCGCCTTCAGTCACGCGCGTGGTCATTTGCGTGTCTCGGGCGTTTTGCCCGACGGACCAAGAAAAGGCCTTTTGCCTTTTGTCTGTCATTCGTAAACAATAGCTAAAACAATGTGACTACTCCGTCGACCAATCAGTTCTTCTGACCGGATTCTGGATAGATTTTACGTCATCAGTATGGAATTTCTGTCGCTGAGTCGCAGACGTTTCTCTGCGCGAAAGACGTAATTTTGTAACAGT